CACGACGAGAGAGGACTTTACTTCTCAATTGCCTACTCAGCCCAAAGTAGCACTAGTTGGCAAGAGTTATTCTCCGTTGGATTTCAAGGCTGACATTATTATTGGTATTAATGCCGGTTCCCAAAAAACGAAGTCGTCTACTTTTTCAAACTTGTAACTGTCAACAGTGACGTGAGTGCCAAGACGCGTAAGCTCTGACTGTTTGTGTGATGACAGTAGGTACTTCGTTTTGTCGTCGTTCACCACCAGACCCATTCGCTTTGCTCCTCTATCCAATAACGAGAAGGCAGAACAGACGCGGCTCTTATTTTTACCGATAATATCGATGTCCTCGGCATACGCCAGCAATTGTACGCTCTTGTAAAGTATTGTGTCAGATTATTAAAAATTATTAACCTTTCCATTTTTTATTTACCTAAATCACCTAATTTAGCCACCTAAATTAATTCTTAAAAATGCATGACATCCGTATTCGCATCACGAGCTCTGGCATTCCAACCTTGGCAACGACCAACGGGGCGTAGCTCTATCACAGCAAATTGATGGCTCCACCTTCTGTTGCTTGAAAGACGATGCCCCAACGAGACTCACAGGCACCACATGGCGAGCCATGATCTCGTTGTCCTCCGACCACCTTCCCGTCATACTATCCATTGACCGCCTGAACGATTTTGTAGTCTCCGAGCGCCGTACATATGTCAACATCAAAAAGTCCAACTGGAACGGCTTCAGAGACTACGTGAAAACTCTCTTAGGTGCCCTACCAACTCCACCTGATGCTCGAACAGCCGAGCGCAAATTCCGCACGGTCTTAAACGTGGCAGCTGCCCGCTTCATCCCAGCCGGACGTATACCGGAGATTTGACCAGGCTTTCCGGCCGAAGCGGCAAGACCCGCTGACGTCCGAGACCGAACCAGGCGAACCAATCCCGACGATGCTAGCATCAATGATCTTAGCGCTGAGATCAAGCGCCTCGTAAACAACCCCATGCGGAACAAATGGTTGGAGCACCTCAAATCATGCAACCCTCAAGAGGGCGTAAGCAAGCTGTGGACTACAGTAAAGTCCCCCTCGAAACCGACGAAGTATAATGACCAAACAGCCGTCAAATTCGGCAACGAAATTCACACCGACTCCAAGAAGTGCGCGCGTGAATTTTGCCGACAGTTTATTGTACACCCTGCGAGGAGCATAACCCAACGCAGCATACTCCGCAAAGCTCACAACATCCGAGCAACTGACACACCACCAACATTCACGCCCAACGAAGTACAAGGCGCGATTCACAAGGCCAAGGCATCGAAATAAGTCGCCCAGATGGCATTTCCATGCTGATGCTAAAGCAATTGGATGCCCCGGGAGTCGAAAACCTCACAAAACTTTAAAACGCCTCTCTAGCCACACACACCATCCCAGAGATATGGAAAAACGGGAGAGTAGTCCCCCTGCAAAAACCTGGGAAGAACGCAGAGTTAGGTAAATCCTACAGGCCGATCACACTCTTCTCTCCGGGGACCAAAACCCCAGAAGCGCAACTCCTCCCGCAACCGACTCAACGCCTGCATCTTTCCTCACATTAGCACGGACTCAGGAAGCTACACAGCACCACGACTGCACTAAACACCGTCACAGCGCAAATAACTGACGGTTTAAACCAAAAGCGCTATTGCGCCCGCCCCATCTTAGTGGTACTTGACCTATCAAAGGCCTTCGAAACCGTCAATCATACAACACTTATAGAGGACATTATCTCGTCCTCCCTACCGCCGCACACAAAACGTTGGATTGTCAGTTACCTCTGCGGGAGGCAGTCATCTGTTGTATTCAGAAACAAAACATCAAAGCCGCTTAGGATTAAGCAAGGTGTACCACAAGGTGGGGTACTATCACCGATCCTGTTTAACCTATATCTAGCGAAACGCCCTCCTCCACCTCAGGGAGTCTCCTTAGTCTCATACGCGGATGACTGTTCCATCATGGCAAAAGGCAACAATATCGACAGCATGTGCACACAGCTCAACCGCTACCTCGAGGAGGTCTCCGAATTTTTCACAGCGTGCAGCTTACAAATCTCGGCCGCTAAGTCAACAGCTACACTCTTCACAACGTGGACAAAAGAGGAGAGCCTCGAACTGAACGTGTTTATTGGCGGAGTCAAGATTCCGACGGTCAACCATCCAAAGATACTACGCGTCACGTTCGACAGCCTCATGTCCTCAGCACACACCACCACTGTTTGAAAGAAACTGCGAAGTAGAAATAAAGTCCTCAAGTCGCTCGACGGCAGCACTTGGGGAAAAGATAAAGAAACTCTGCTCGTGACATATAAAGCGATCGGCCCAGTGTGGACAGTAGGCACGAGTGACATGCAGTGGAAAAACCTACAGACATGCCAAAATGCCGCTCTACGAACCGCGACAGGGTGTCTCCTTATGTCCGCCGAATAACACCTACACGACGAGACTACGTTGCTCCGGGTAAAGGAACACAATATGCTGCTGTCAAGACAGTTACTGCTAGGCGGTCTGACTCCGAGTGCTGCACCACCAAGACACGTAAGGAGACACCTCAGTCATCTAGAAGTAGACATCGACCATCAACTTCATTCACCACTGAGCCGCGAGGCATACCTTGAGGGAATCAACAACCTTCATCGCGAAGCAGTTATCACCGCAACACGAGGACGCCACGAAAACATAGTCCTCGGTGGCCGGCCGCCTCCCATCGATATGAGCGAATTTGAGCTCCCGCGCGAAACTAGATCCACACTGGCGCAACTTAGATCTGGCTGGTGCAGTCGCTTAAATTCATACAGGACCTGACTAGACCCAGAGATCGCTGACACCTGCCCAGCACGCGGAACTGGTCCACACAACACCGCACACCTGTTCGCATGCCCTACATATCCCACCCATCTGACACCCGAAGCGCTGTGAACTCAACCTAACGAGACTGCTCGCTTCTTGGGCCTAAGGTTGGAGGAGTCAGATGGGGAAGACGAAGATGAATAAACTACCAACCCATTCGGGGACTACGTGCTGCTACAACATCAGTACTCTCCCTAGCTTGCAAAAAATGCTAGAAACCGTTGTGGAAAACCAGCTACAGTACTATGTGGAATCCAATAAAATACTCGTAAAAGAACAATCTGCATTCAGAGCTAAACATTCCTGTGAGACTGCGCTGAACCTGGTGCCTTCTCAATGGAAAGAAAATCTTAACTACCACCTTAATATAGTAGCCACTTTAAAAGAGCATTTGAAACAGTTGATAGGGTCCGAATGTTGGATAAGCTAAAATACATTGGCATAAAAAACACTGAGCTTGACTGGTTTAGAAGCTTTCTTTGTAATCGTAGGCAACAAACATTAGTTAATTCAAAGATATGTAGTAAGATAGCCGTAGACATCGGCTTACCACATGGCTCAGTTTTGGCACCCCTACTCTTTAATATATATATAAACGATATTAAGAGTTCTCATTGTAAAATAAAACTCTTTGCGGATGATGCCTTGTTAATGATCAGTGATAGCGAACTACCAAATGCGATTGTTAAAATGCAAGAAGATCTTGTTCTTTGTATCAATGGCTGTGTTCAAATAAACTCAAACTGAATGTGAAAAAGACTAACTTTATGGTATTGTTCAGAGCAGCAAATGCTGACTCCTTAATAGTGCTGGGTAACGCAGCGCGGCGTTGCTTCATTGCGTTGATACCGACGGTGGTGCTACTGGCGCTGATACACTAATTATCGATACCGTAGCGCATTGGCGGCAGTAACGCCAATAACGAGCTTGCGCACACTGAACGCAAAGAAGCAAGAACGATAGAATACGAAGATTGCGCCGATAGGGTTGCAAAATTGTTTTCGTATGCGCATCTAAAAAAGGTAAACAAAGAAGATGGGGAAGAAGAAAGAGTTGACAATTTGAAAACAATGCCAACAATTCGTCAATATGCGTAAAAGATTTAAGATGGAGAATCCAAAGCAGCAGCTTATTGTAGAAAACGCTATAAAAGATATGGATCCACGACTCAATAGAGATCCTGGTGAAGCGCGTACATTCGTTCCTGGATCGACATGGTTTTATTAACTTTGGCATTTTTAAACGTTTACGCCCCATACCTACTAAGAAGTTGGGCAAAGTTATAGTAATTGGAGCAGGCATCTCAGGGTTAGCGGCTGCCCAACAGCTACAGCAATTCGGTATAGGTGTCATTGTATTATTGTACTTTTCACAAGAGCAATTATATTGCTGATTTAGGCGCTATGGTAATAACAGATGTTTGGGGCAATCCAATGACTATACTAAGCAAACAAATTGGAATGAAGAGAGTGCACNAAATGCTAGAAACCGTTGTGGAAAACCAGCTACAGTACTATGTGGAATCCAATAAAATACTCGTAAAAGAACAATCTGCATTCAGAGCTAAACATTCCTGTGAGACTGCGCTGAACCTGGTGCCTTCTCAATGGAAAGAAAATCTTAACTACCACCTTAATATAGTAGCCACTTTAAAAGAGCATTTGAAACAGTTGATAGGGTCCGAATGTTGGATAAGCTAAAATACATTGGCATAAAAAACACTGAGCTTGACTGGTTTAGAAGCTTTCTTTGTAATCGTAGGCAACAAACATTAGTTAATTCAAAGATATGTAGTAAGATAGCCGTAGACATCGGCTTACCACATGGCTCAGTTTTGGCACCCCTACTCTTTAATATATATATAAACGATATTAAGAGTTCTCATTGTAAAATAAAACTCTTTGCGGATGATGCCTTGTTAATGATCAGTGATAGCGAACTACCAAATGCGATTGTTAAAATGCAAGAAGATCTTGTTCTTTGTATCAATGGCTGTGTTCAAATAAACTCAAACTGAATGTGAAAAAGACTAACTTTATGGTATTGTTCAGAGCAGCAAATGCTGACTCCTTAGTAGTGCTGGGTAACGCAGCGCGGCGTTGCTTCATTGCGTTGATACCGACGGTGGTGCTACTGGCGCTGATACACTAATTATCGATACCGTAGCGCATTGGCGCCAGTAACGCCAATAACGAGCTTGCGCACACTGAACGCAAAGAAGCAAGAACGATAGAATACGAAGATTGCGCCGATAGGGTTGCAAAATTGTTTTCGTATGCGCATCTAAAAAAGGTAAACAAAGAAGATGGGGAAGAAGAAAGAGTTGACAATTTGAAAACAATGCCAACAATTCGTCAATATGCGTAAAAGATTTAAGATGGAGAATCCAAAGCAGCAGCTTATTGTAGAAAACGCTATAAAAGATATGGATCCACGACTCAATAGAGATCCTGGTGAAGCGCGTACATTCGTTCCTGGATCGACATGGTTTTATTAACTTTGGCATTTTTAAACGTTTACGCCCCATACCTACTAAGAAGTTGGGCAAAGTTATAGTAATTGGAGCAGGCATCTCAGGGTTAGCGGCTGCCCAACAGCTACAGCAATTCGGTATAGGTGTCATTGTATTATTGTACTTTTCACAAGAGCAATTATATTGCTGATTTAGGCGCTATGGTAATAACAGATGTTTGGGGCAATCCAATGACTATACTAAGCAAACAAATTGGAATGAAGAGAGTGCACGTTAGGCTAGCATGTCCGCTATATGGAGCTTGTGGAAAACCTGTGCCCAAGCATAAGGACGATAAGGTGAGCAGAAATAATACGTAATAAGTATAGTTTATTTGATAAATATTATTGTTTTTCAGGTGGAACGTGAATTCAGTCGACTTCTTGAGTCCGCCAGTTATCGGTCTCATCAGCTAGACTTTATCTACGCCTACGATTACCTATACATACAGCTATACAGCTTAATTAACTAATTTTAAATATTCTAGTTTAGTAGTCAATAGTAGTGTATGTATATGTATTTACCTATACATATACATAAAAGCAGAAAAAGTTTATCAAATTTTGCAAGGTTGTAAGAAACCTAAATTTTTGTAAACCTTAATTATTAATTTTTAACTTTTAATATATATCAAAAGAAGGGTAGATCGATTACCTTTCTTTTGATCATAATGTCGTTGAAATCGCTTCACTTTTTTATACAAATTTTGCATCTTTTGAAAACACATATATGTAAGCAGAGAAGTCATGAAATTTTGTATTGTTGTAAGAAACCTTAATTTTTGTCAACCTTAATAATTAATTTTTAACTTTTAATATATATCAAAGGAAGGGTAGATCGATGACCTTTTTTTTGATTATAATGTCGTTGAAATCGCTTCACTTTTTTATACAAATTTTGCATCTTTGTAAAACAAATATATGTAAGCAGAGAAGTCATGAAATTTTGCATAGTTGTAAGAAGCCTAAATTTTTGTAAACCTTAATAATTAATTTTTAACTTTTAATATATATCAAAAGAAGGGTAAATCGATTACGTTTCTTTTGATTATAATTTCGTTGAAATCGCTTCACTTTTTTATACAAATTTTGCATCTTTGTAAAACAAATATATGTAAGCAGAGAAGTCATGAAATTTTGCATAGTTGTAAGAAGCCTAAATTTTTGTAAACCTTAATAATTAATTTTTAGCTTTTAATATATATCAAAAGAAGGGTAAATCGATTACGTTTCTTTTGATTATAATTTCGTTGAAATCGCTTCACTTTTTTATAAAAATTTTGCATCTTTTGAAAACACATATATGTAACCAGAGAAGTCAAGAAATTTTGCATAGTTGTAAGAAACCTAAATTTTTGTAAACCTTAATAATTAATTTTTAACTTTTAATATATATCAAAAGAAGGATAAATCGATTACCTCTTTTGATTATAATGTCGTTGAAATCGCTTCACTTTTTTATAAAAATTTTGCATCTTGTGAAAAGCAGGGATAAAGTCATGCAATTTTTTATAGTTTCGAAAACATCTACAAAGGAAATATAAATAAAAGGAATAATATATAATAAAGAATAAAGCAATTAAAAATATTTGTTTTCTGTCCTGCCCTTTTAAAACCCAGATACATGCAATGAAGATATTTTTATTTTTTAAACCACAGAATTTATTTAGTTTCTAGCACATTCGCTTATACATATACTTTAGAGATCATGAATTAAATTCATTTTGCATTTGTATACTTTTTTAGTATACATTCAATTAATTTCGCTTATACATATACTTCAGAGATCATGAATTAAATTCATTTTGCATTTGTATACTTTTTTAGTGTACACTCAATTAATTTCGCTTATACATATACTTTAGAGATTATGAATTAAATTCGTTTTGCATTTGTATACTTTTTTTGTGTACATTCAATTAATTTCGCTTATACATATACTTTAGAGATCATGAATTAAATTCATTTTG